ATATGCACACTAGTAAAATTTTATTCTTACTATTAGTTCAAATTACCAATGTTTTTTATGATGAGTGAGAAATGTTGGCGGCATGGAGGTAAATCGTAAGCTACTTGAGTCTGTTCGGAAGGATACTGTCCTTAAGAACTATTTCAGCATACTAGGATGACAAGCCGGCAGTTTTCTAAAATTAAACGAACACGTCCTCCAAAATATAAGGGCACGGAACAGCAAGCACTAGAAAACTCAAATGAAGAACAAGAACATAGCAAAAGTCAAAGGAGGAGAGAAAAGCCTCAAAATCTCAAGAGGCAGACGAATTGTTCTCTTTGCACTTATGGCTATACATAGGCTGAAGATAGAGTTATGAACGTTGGGTTCATAATCATTATATTAAAGCCTCAGTTACACACACATAAAACATCATTAACTTGGAGCCATTGGCAGACAAACACATTTAAGAAATTAATTAACAAAATTGGTTTTGAGAATTGGGTTGTTAACACTCAGAGATGGCCAAGGCTCGAATTCAAACTTCAAATAGCGAAAATTTGAAGTTTTCTGATAAGCTCAAAAAATAAATAATTTTTGTTAAAAATTATTTGATAAAAGGAACTTAGTGCCTCTTGAACTTGCACGAGGGGTAAATCGATTGATTTTAACTACGATTGCCTTGATTGGCTTGTTTCATGCTCTCGAGTCCACTTCTCCTCCAAATTATTTACTACCCTATTTCACTCCCTTCTATTTATACACTAAAAGCTTTCTTTATTTAGGCAATATGGGACTTCTTTTGACACACACACACACACTATTACTACAACAAAAAAATAACTTCATACAAGGATTTAGAATTAATAGAATAATATAAGGGTAGAGTAATAATTTTTTTTACATGTATTAAGTTTCTTATATTTTAAACTAAGATTTGTTGAGAAACAAATGGTTATATTTTGGACAGAATGGAGTATAACCTTATTCTTTTAAAATGAAAATATAAAATTTTAAAAATATTCTTTTTTTAAATATAACCTTGTCCGTAAAAATTAAACAGAGAAGATATAATAAGGAGGGAATGATAATGTTAAGATAAGTACAATCAATAAATCTGATACACTGAGTTATCCCAAAAGTATTTTATAAATTTGGACGAAGAGGTATTATATTTATAATGAAAATAAAAGAACACGTAAACTTTGGGCATTAATCTCTATTCTTATAAACCACCATCAATCACTTTTTGCGAGAACGGTACATAAATTTTGATATGAATATACACACTTTGTCCATGGAACTTTCTTATGCGAGTGGATGTAATATTAGAGATATGAGAAATGGAAGGTTTTTTGTGGCTGGTTAAATATGCAAATTAAGTGGGTTATACGTAAGAGCGTATGGTTTGGGATGTATTCCAAAAATGTGTGGGTCAAAGGTTTGATGATTGCCATCATAAATTTTATAGGTAACCAACTCTTGGATTGTTCCAAAGAAGAGAGGACAAAAAAACATGTTAGATGAACTATAGGGAGCAAGATTCACATGGGTAACATAATTTCCAATTTCAAAAATTGTTTTTTTCATTGGGCCAACTCGGCATTCTATTTCATTTTCGTCGCAGCTATGTATGACTGATTCTAATCTAATGCCAAATGTGAGAGGGGGGGGGGGTGATAATTTAGATCCTTAATTATTGTATTCCCAGTCCACTGCCAAAGTGGATCTTAACCCGCTGTACATTGTATATGATGATTTACATTGTATGTGATGATTTTATTGCCTAACTTTTAACTGAACATCAGGACCAAGTAAACTATTTGTTATTGTACATGTACAATTAATTCATTGTTCAATGTCACTGAGTATTCAAGACAGCGATATGTAAGACGCAATGGTTCTTTTTAGGCCCAGAAATTAGACACGGTGAATTCTCCCCAGTCACAGAGGAAATATTGGATTTGAATTTAATATCTGTGCTTAGTATATGTATTGAACACTTGTATCACTTGGGTTGTTAAAATTTAAATTAACAATTTTAATAAATTCACTCATTCATTAATTTCAAGTGGAGTTTGAATTTAAAACTATTTATTTAAATTTTAACAATTTAAATGATATAGATATTTAATGCCTATGTTAAGTATAATCATTGAATTTAAATGCGACAACATTGAGGTAATAGCTTGCAAGTGGAAATAATATTTGCTATGGTTGTGGAGGTAAAATAGAAACACTTAAAAAAAATAATCACCATGAGGATTCCTTTCATTGGTTTAAAGGCATGTAACTTAACAGATTATACGTGTCAGTCAATGCATGTCGGTGATGTGAATTATTGTTTGGTTAACTTGCATTCATGTGTTACGAGGGTTTTGCGGTGATTTAACTGGCCCGTATTATCTTTTGATTCGCAAAATATTGAGTGGCTTGGACAAACGCGAAAAAACCTGGGCTGCCCAAAAGCAGGCCCAGCCCCGGCACAACAAGGGTCGTCTCCTAAATTCATTTTAAAAAGATGTACCTAAAAATGTGTTGAGCAAGGCCCATTTTTTATTTCTATCTTTCTTTTTTGGGCCAAGCATTTGTCATTCTATCTCCAACTATCCCTGTGGACCAAGAAATGTGTGTGCGTGTGTTTTCGGAAATGACCAAGAAATGTATATTTGTTATCTTGTTGTTGTTCTTCAGCTCTCAACGGCCCAGGCCCAGTTCCTTGAAGCACCCCGTGAATATAATACTGTTACTGGTACAAGTATTTATAAGCAACATAAACTGACCACAAAAAAGTTGTTCCATTACTATCTCACTATCACTGCAAGATCTCCTCACGAAGGTTCGGATTAGTCTGGGGCAG